GAAGGTAGTCGAGCCGGCTTGCAAGTTGCAGGAGCGGGACATGAGAGATGGCGGGGAAGAAAACAACGAGCCAGGTACTCGCTGCGAACAGTATTTCGAAATCTAAAGCAATGGTCTAGCTATGTTACATCTTTTCTCCCTTCCTTCTTTCTTTCTTTCCTTCTTTCCTTCCTTCCTTCCTTCCTCTCTCTCTCTCTCTCTCTCTCTCTCTCTCTCTCTCTCTCTCTCTCTCTCTCTCTCTCTCTCTCTCTCTCTCTCCTCCTCCTCCTCCTCCCTCCTCCTCCTCCCTCCCTCCCTCCCTCCCTCCCTCCCTCCCTACCTCCCTCCTTCCCTCCCTCCCTTCTTTCTTTCTTTCTTCCTTCTTTCCTTCACCCATTCATCGTCGCGAGGACTATGATAAAAATCCTCGGCGTACACAGTTTACTATTCTGTATATTTTTGGGTAAACCGTACCTAATGGACGGACAGCGCAGAACAACGTACAAGTGTACTCGAAATCGAGTGGATCTCCTTTCTCGAGCATCCCCGTGATTGTCTCGATTTTCTCCTGCCTTGCATGCCTCGCTTTCTCCTCCAGCCAGGTTCATTTTTTCACGATTCAACCGCTTCCGGAATGTCTCGCAGTTCGCGAACTTCATACATTTGAAATTTCCGGCCAGAATTTTCACGCTAGAATGTTTCGTCACAGCAAGTTTGCGACAAGATTCACACCGTAAAATCTTTCTTCATCGCGCCGTGGACCATTACGCGCCGACGGTGGGATTGTCAATAATCCTAAACTGGAGTTCTTTTCGGCATATAATACAGAATTACGCCCGTCAAGCGGATATACTCTATATTTGGACGCGGGAAAAGACGCACATTGCTTATTTGTAGCCGGCTATCCAATATCACGTTTTTCCCCGAGGTCTTATTTATGGAAAAGTTGAGGGTGCACAGCCGAAATGACGATGGCGAGAACGGCATTGTACAATATCATCTTCCATCCATTCAATCCCAGAGTTGTATCGGTTGACATCGTCTTTACAGGCGTCCAGTAACCCGTGGAGATTCCGTCGACTTTGGCAAAGGTGGGAAAAGTGGTCCCTAGGGAAAGTAGACGACCGGTTCCCTAACAACGCATGACCTTTCGAAATTTTTTCATCTTTCGAGCGCGTTTCTCGCTCCCTTCTCGTTTACGCTGTATCGTAAAAAGAAGAAAGAATCTTCTCGAGTCCATGCGTTTGTGCTTTTACGAGGATTTTATCAAGCGAACGTTTAGTGCGTCGCACATTGATAGAATGGCTTAGCAGTCAAGAAAAAAAAATAAACTTCTAATTTATTAAAGTTACGTAAAGCTATTCGGGGAATTCATATGGCTAATGATGTTCGAACTAATGACGCTCGCTTGCCAATACTATCGCGCGGTACTTCAAAAATACATTACATAATCATCGAGTAACGAAGAATGATTTAGTAGATAAAACGTAGTCCGTTCGCTCATAAACATCGCATTGAATGCACTTCCGTTTTTAAGCACACAAAAGTTAATCGATATGTGCGCTTTGTGTATATCGTCTCTGATGAAACTGAAATGGCTCTATATAATGTATGCGCGATATATAGACTGCGATAAAACGGTTCTAATGAGGTTAATTAATTGCACGATTATTGCGCTCTTTCCTTTGTTCATTTTTACGCGGACTCTAATGAAAAGTACATATAAATATCGCTGGATGCAGCATTGGTCGTCGATATTCAGAGAAGTCGTTTCCGCTAATTTATCATTTTTACATGTGTCCGTCCGGTCACTGACCCTACGAAGTAACAAAGGAACCAATCGATTACGCGCCGTGGGATCAACGGACAAACGGCGGGTCTCGCGTCCAGTAGCGTGCGGCGAGATAAGCATCCATTATAGGCACGTCGCCCCACGGTCATATATCGCGCACCTAGGGCTTTAGACCTTACATATCTCTGGCTGCTTTAATGCCGTAACTGCTGTAGCGCTTGCACCCGGACGCGCCGCAATCAGACAACGCATTCGCGAAAAGAGACGAGCGTCGCGGAAATGGTTATCGCAAAAAGCCCTCCGCGTGTAACTCCGTATCGGCATTAATCGAGCGCATAAAGTGATGTATGCCATTTCTCTCGCTTCGTTGAATTATATATTCCTTTCCTTTCAATGAGAATTTTACGGTTTATGATTATTGCAACGATATCCTCGATTTACCGATCGACGCGCTAAAAACCTTCACACTTCGTTAAATATTTTACGCACACGGGAAAAATCTGCCACGTTTCTACATCGTGAATAATATTATAATAATTAATTTTCAATTATCTGATCCGCTAATTCGCGTTTGATCGCGTCATTTAATCCTGGTAGGTGCTTTAAGATCGATAAAGTCTATTACGAGACAAAGTTGACGCATGCGGTGAGAAGTTGTAAGGACAGAAGCATTACTAAACAATGTAAGCAATTTGCGCGTATGTATGTATGCACGGCAAGTGCAACGTAATAGTGTGGTTTGATGAAACTGAGGAATCGTGAGCATTACTCTTTGTCGAAAGCCGGCTTATAAGCCGACGTATTGATCCCGACGAAGATATAATCTAATGGGCTCCGCTTTCCTACCTCACGTTATACTCTTTACGAGTATATCATTCACTGTTATAACGCCATTTCGCTAGTTATGAAGTAATAAGCACAGAGCAATTTATAAGATAGCAATGTGTGTAACGTATAATTCGCTTTATCACTTTTTATTTCACATTGTCAGACAGACAAGTGAAATTATTAATGAAGATTGTGAAAATGATTATAAAGATTTGCAAATTGATATTAAACTTTTTTTTTCCCGGAGAACGTGTTAATTATATAATTTGAATAATCTGAAATCACGAATTTGTCGAGCAGCGTGAGTGCTTGCGATAATCGCAATAATGCAATGGCAGTTTATAAATATGTTATCTCCCTTGAGAAAGGTCACTGCCTTTTCTTTTCTCTCTTCTTCTTTCTCATCTCTTTCTCTTTCAGTCCAGCTATTTTTCCCCAGAGTGGTTTGGATTGCCCGCTATTCACCATTCGTTCCCCGTCTATCTGTTGAACCTACGTCCGGTCTTCTCTTCTTTCCATTTCCGCGTCGGACGTGGAAAATCGCCGTCTATTTCGCGGCAGTCATTGCGTTCTTTTACGCCGAATTGTTTCCGGCGTACGTTTTAAGGTAGCGATTGATGGATTAATTCGTGGCTACTATTTTAATCTAAACAATTAATCCTTCGAAATATCAAATAATTTTTATATTTCGATATTTCTATATATTGCGTCTTTTTATTTTACTGTATCTCGAGAAGCGAAAACTTAATAGATTTACGTTGCTATCGAAAAAGTTTGTTACTTCTAAAGTTGAACTTGTGTGCTCGCACGAAGAAATGCAAACTAAAACAGCGCGTTTCTTATTTTCGCGGGAAATACGGGAGAAGCACGCTCATCCCGAGGAGAGAACAGGCAACGACGACCGATGTCACGGACAAACGTCTTACGTGACCGAGCCAATCTTTAAAACTAGTTTTTTGCCCCACTCTTGTTTGTCTCTTGCTTTCGGAGTGTACGCTTTGGAGCACGTACGTTTCGAGTCTTCGTGCCCCTCCCACGTTTGTTCTAGCAGACTTCCCATGCGCTCCAGGATTTTCTTCCATCCCTCCGAAACGGCCGCACAGCCGGCCGGACAATTCCGCGCACGTTTGCCGAAAGGCGGAAGGAGCGGAACGAGGCTCGTGCCAAGCGAGCAGCAAATCGAGGTAGAAGAACCAAGAAACAAAACGGTGAGATCAAGAGAGGAGAACACGATTCGTGGAGGAGGAGGCGGAGCACGATATACGGGCAAGGCCACGTTTGTATCGGTGGCCACGAAGACAAATGATGATTGCGACAAACATTTCGGGGCATCCGCGTTCCGTCCAATCCGGGTGGAACAATCCTGGCGCGAGGAGAACGCTCGATTTCATTTTCTGAAGAAGCCACCGACGAGAGTTCTCTCCGCTCTGAATCTAGAACAGTACAAAGTACACGTACACATAGAACGCGGCATGTTCCATTCTTCTCTTGTTTCGAGAAGGAAAAAAACGCGACGTCGCGACGATTAATTGCGAGACTTGGATCAAAGTCTTTTGATCAGGTTTCGACCGCGACGAAATTCCCGTGAAGAAACGTCAAATCACGAGACTGTTAATTATCTACAATGGGAGAGGAAAGGAGAATGAAAAGTTGACACTTTATCGAGGATGACAATTTTTATCTGCAGAGTTGCTTTTGCGACTTACAGTCGATCGTACACGCACGATTCATTTCGTCATATAACTCTCTTCGTCAACTTACCAAGTTATAATTTACTTCTTCAGCACTATCCCGAATTCTGCGTTTTGTTTAATTTGCGTCAACGTCGCGCCCGAGGAGAATCCTCGTAATTGAATAGAAATAATTACGCGGCTCGCGCGAGTAACTCGGCTAGGCTGCGGTCGCGCCAATTTCCGCGCGGTTGTTCTATATTTCTTGATAAGACGCGGTCTGTGCCCCGGAGACACCGTAACGCTCGCTCCGTGTACATACGCGCAACGCGGTGACGTGGAGGAGAGGTTACGGCACTCTCGGGAGTCCAGTTAATACGTCTTCCCCGAGCCGGAGGTCTACCTCTCTGTCACTGCCCTCCCATCCCACTGCCCGCCATCGCCGTCTCAACCCCTTCGCGCACTCCTCTTTCTCGTACTCGTTTCTCATCCAGCTCTGCCCGTCCCCGTTTCTACCGGCATCCGGAAATCCCTCGCACGTATTGCTGATTTCATAATTTCGGCATCTTGCCAGGTCGAACCGTACGTGACCGGTCCTCCTGTCCAAAGAATCGTAGGTCGACCCGAATATCGTGACGAACACCGTCGCAATAGACAAATGGATTTGGAATGTAAATTGCACGCGGCACACATGGTCACTGTGTTGCGCGGTTCAAATTGCGCGATAAATCAAATTGCGATTACATCGCTATGTCGACTCGTTGCAAGTGGAACGAAACGCTATTCTGACAATTGTATCGTAACATCGTATTGATAAGCGTATTATAATTTTTTTCATTTACAAGCTCAACACGTTTACCATTGCGTGCGGCAAATTTTTATTTCCCATGCAAAATCAACGATATTTACGCCGGAAGTCAATCAATATTTTTTTTTATCAAATTGTTAAATCGAAAATTATCTCGTTTGTTTATTCGCTATCGTATATCGATTGATGCAAATTCGTTAATATTTTTTTACCATCAGCCCACATCAACCTCGATGAACGCGTAGTACAATCATAATATTGTGCCGACATCATCATCTCTTTCTGTCACAAGGTTTACTATTTTTTCTGCTCTTGTATAAAAATAACGCGATATCTTATAGTATTTACCAATGAAAAGGGAAAGGGGGGGGGAGAGGGGGGAGAAGCGTTGGT